AACGATAGGCGGTGGCAGTGATCTCTGACATCTAGAACAGCTGATCAACAGTATTCCAGGAGGCAAATAATCGCCAATCAGACGCTCAGCAGCAAAGACTCCAGAGTTCTCCAGCAGCAGCAGCTCAGTTCAGTTGACCGGTAGTGGGCGCAGCAGAGCGGAGCCCTGATGAGCCATGTGCTGGGGCTGCAATAATGTGCTGAAGCTGACCAGGCTGTTGCTGCAAGCTAGCCAGATGAATACTGGGAGGCAGAGGCAGATTTCTCCCCTTGTTTTCCTCCTCTAAAGGTAATGCACATCTTATAGTCCAGAGCGTCTTATAGTGCAAAAAATACGGTAATCATTTGAGTTTGCTACCACCACTCATACAATTCATTGGTTCTATATTTATTTGCTTTGTCTAGAAAGACAAAAAATTAATATATCTACTAGCTTTTGGTTCCCTATGAGCATATATTTGAGTAATCAAATTATACCTGTTTGCTATTTCTTCCTTCTTTCCACTCTTTCAGTGAGACCTTGTGTGATATTTGACTATTTTTACTTTATTCACAGCTCATAATATACAAATATAGTTTTATAGTTTTATAAAACTATGTTTATATCATGGTGTTTTGACATAGTTATTGACCGATTAGCAACTGAAAACCAGTTATATAAAATAAATAAAAATCTTAATTTTTATTAACACTTTTTTAACGAAAGAGAATGTGAGACTCTTGATATTGGTGAAAAATTTATTTTGGCTATATTGAAAATAGAGTTCTTGGTCACTTCATTTTTGCTGCTGTGTTGCAATATTTTGGGGGAGGGCTTATTTTCAGGGGAAGGCTTATTTTAGCGCATGGGCTTAAAAGTCTAATTGGATTTATTACCTGGAGAGGTCTTATTTTCAGGGAAACAGGGTAAGTAAGTTTCCTTTAGATCATTGTGCAGTGTAGAAACATTACAAAGGAACTTTTTTCAAATAATAACTTCAGTATTTGTAAAAAAAAATCAACTAATATTATAAACTCCTGTTAAACTCCATTTCATTGTTTTAATTTTGTTACAATGTGAAATGACTGCATTGGTTTAATGGATGTCATTTAAAACAAGCATGTAATGTTTTGCCCATAGTGTAAAATAATATATTTACCATAAAATATTTTCTAATTTCTAAATCTGCCTCATCAGAAAATTAATAAAATGAGAATATACTTTACATATTTATGAATTTTAATTAATACTGTTATTAATCTAGCTTTGTTGGGTTAATTAATAGTTGCAAAGAGATTGCTTCAGTGCTTTAGCCATTTAGTAATTAACATTTGCCAATTTCCAAAGTGACCTGGACACAATCCTTCGTGGTACTTGATGTATTTGAATTTATTTAAATGGGTTCCTGATTGTTGATTTGTTTGCTTGTTTATGATAAGAAACATTTTTAAAAGGATGTTTTATTTCTTTAGTATTTTTTGAGCATTAATTTTTATTAGGTGTTTTTAGCTTTGTGATGACTCAGATATTTCCAACAGTGCGAAGACTTTACATTTATTTTAATTAACAAGCATATTGTTAAATCCAAGAATCTTTTGTAAGTAATAGCATTAGAAAATAGCTAGTTATTTAATTAGCTAATGATAACACCATCATTAATGTGATATAGCAAGAAAGAATCATTAGTGAATACTACAGATACAGCCTGTACATTCCAGTACTCTAAAATGGATTTCTTGATGTACTGTATCATGATATGAAAATAATAAATCTTTACAGTACTGTTTAATTTTTTTTTCTAAATACAGTTCTGTTTCATCTCTCTGAGTGTACTGTTGTATTTTATATTTCTTTATCTTTTTTTAAAAAAAATAAAGCTTGGGTTCTGAACTGTAAATTTCAGCCTTACTCTGAAAAGACTAGTGTGCTAATTTTCTACTTTGCTTGAGCAATATATCAGTGAAAAATTCAGTAAATTCGTCTATCATGGTAGCGTTAAATATTAGATTCCTTGTGCTCAGTTCATAAATGTAAACTTGTTTAAGGAATTCAGAGAGGGAGACGTCACCCTAAGCCAATTGTTTCTCAATTTGAGGGGCATTTTCTGGAATTCTGAGAATATGTCATGAGTGTTGTTTTGATGATGTGGCCAATTGTATAAGAAAAGATCAGATGAGTTGAAAGCTTTGAAGGAAACAAGGGAATATCCATGGATTAGTGGTGGGTTCCTCCCGATTCGGACTGGTAGTAATTTGGCAGCCTGAGTCGCTGGAACCGGCAGCAACCCAGGCCTGCCATATCCCTGAACTGGTTCTCCCGCCGACGGCATAGGCACCGCCATCTTGTTTTTTTGCTTCTGCGCATACACTGAGCACTTTTAGTTGTATTGAGCATACACTCACTGTGAGCATCAAGCATGTGCGGTGCGGGCAGTGCATGTCCCTGAGCGGACTGTCAGAACCCATCCCTGCCCTGGATATTTTATCTGAACATACAGCCACAGAGTTGGACCATTGATTTGTTCAATTCAGCAGTGCTGACCAACATCAGATTTCTAGAACTCTAGACTTTGCCAGTCTTACTTGAAGAATCTGAAAGGCATTGCTTCTACTGCTGAGTTTCAGTCATTCCAGTTTATTTGTCCTTATAAGGCAAATGTGATTATTTTGTAGATCAAGTTCTATACAAATAGCTTGAGAAAGCCTTCATGCAGCTGTATATTAAGCAACACTACACAATGTATTTGGATACTATAAGAACATAAAGTACAACCTATGCTTATTTGATACTGATGCTTCCAATATTGCTACGATGTTTTTTTATTGCCAAAAATGCATCATATATTTTAATCTGAAAACTGGTTTCTCTGTAATGCAATGGCTGGGTTTCTATGACCATGTCCACACAGGCAGGCTTCCCCCCCCCCCACTTTGTGATGCAAGCAAAGAGTGGAAGCCTTCTATTTACCGTATTTTCCGGTGTATAAGACACACTGGAGTATAAGATGCACCAAGATTTTGAAGAGGTAATTTTTTTAAAAAAACTTTTTTGCACTCTGCAGGCCTCCCAAACCCTCTGCACACCTCATTTTTTGTGAAAAACGAGGCATGCAGAGAGTTTGAGATGCCTGCAAAATGATCCTGGGAGCTGGGGGGGGGGGCAAAAAAATGGCTCTGTTTTTTGTCAAAAAATGGCATGCATAGCCTTTAGGAGGCTTGTAGAGTAGCCGGTTTTTCGCTCGTTTTTGCCCTCCCCAGCTCCCAGGAGCACTTTACAGGCCTCCCAAACCCTTTGCACGTCCATTTTTGTGAAGGAGGCGGGGTTTCGGGAGGCCAAAAATGCTTTATTCAATGTATAAGATGCAGCCAGTTTTTCACCCTCTTTTTTTTGGGGGGGGAAGATGCATCTTATACTCTGAAAAATACGGTATTGTTTTCTCTTCCCATTAAATTGGGTTCATCTATTGTGCTAAGCTCAGGAGTGATATTCACTTACCTTCCCTACTGGTTTGCAAATGTGAGTGTGTGCATATGCTTCACTCGCATGTGCCCCATCCACACATGCACTCAGCCTTCCGCGCATGCACTTTGGCTAAAAATAAAAGCACCTAAATGGGACGGTATAGAGCTGGATTGTCTAAACCCGAACTAAAAATGGTTGGGTGATGTCATATATGAACCAAACTACAAAGTAAGATTTTAGCTCATTCCAAAACTACTGGCATTAATACTTGCTTTTTTTTTAAAGCTTTATTAACATAATTGTAGGTAAAAGAAAAACAAAATGTCTACATTTTTTATTTGATTACCTTGTTTTAAACTGTTTCACAAAGTCTAATCAGGAAGCCTTTTGATTTTAATTACAGTCAGACTGTTACTTCTAATTCAAGATTTTAAACTTTAGAAACAGCACTCATGCATGGACGGCGTATTAGTCCATGTAACCAAAAACAGGGCTCAGCTTGAAGAAAACAATATTTGAGTTATTACTTAATTCAAATTACTATAGTCCTCAGTTATAAAATCAACCATGTTTTAGAACTTTACTGAATACACTACTTGATTAATGAGTTTCCTGAGCGCCTTTGCCTAGGTACAAAAATGCTCTTTAAATAGAAGTTTTAACCTATTTCTATAACCTTAGAAAAGTTGTTTTTAATGGTTTTCAATAATGCTGAAATATGACCTTTATTCAGATACCTAACTTTATTCTGATTTCCAATAATCAACAGAAATGATCAAGACAAAGTTAAAGATATTGTTAATTTAAACATTATTAAGAAATCCCCTAATATATTTTTTGAAAAGTACAGATAATCACCATTTAGTGACCATTTCATTTATCGACTTTTTACCTAGTACCGTATTTTTCGGAGTATAAGACTCACCTTTTTCCCTCAAAATAGAGGGAGGGTGAAAATCTAGGTGCGTCTTATACACTGAATACAGCATTTTTGGCCTACTGAAATCCCGCCCCCTTTGCAAAAACGGCCTTGCAGAGGGTTTGGCGAGGCTTGCAAAGTGCTCTTGAGGGCTGGGGAAGACAAAAAAGAGCAAAAAACGGGCCATTTTTGCCCCCGTCCAGCCCCCAGGAGCACTTTATAAGCCTCCCAAACCCTTTGCATGCCCTTTTCCTTTTTGCAAAAAACAGCCCGTTTGTGTGAAAAACGGGCCATTTTTTTGCTTGTTTTTGGACACCCCCCCCTCCAGCCCCCAGGAACACTCTAAGACCCTCCCAAAGCTCTGCATGCCCCCCCTTTTTTGTGCAAAAAACTAAGCGTGCAGAGTGCTTGGGAGGCCTGCAAAGTGCAAAAGCTTTTTTTAAAATTTACCTCTTCAAAATCATGGTGTGTCATACTCCAGTGCGTCTTATAGTCTGAAAAATACAGTAAGTATTTGGGAGTTGTAAGTTTTTTTTTACAAAAAAAATGTGTGTTTATTAACAAATTCAATAGGCTGAACTAGAACTTTCTAAAACCGATGGATTGTATGTATAATAACGGCATTTTCCTTTATTTGAAGGTCATTCTGTGAGATTGCTAGGACAGAAAAAGGATAATGGGAAACGGCTGGGGGGAGCGCGACTGGATTTGCCAAAGATTAGAAAGAACCCCCTGATAGAAATCATTTCCATCAATACAGGGTAAGCATCATTCAAACTGACATAAAATATTCAATACTGCCTAGAAATTCAATTTGATTTTTGTTCGTTCTTAATGCAGTGCTGCCCAAATGATACCATCAGGCACAGTTTACAATAAAACGTTGAAAACGCCAGTGGCAACATTGTAATACTTTAAAGTGCTGATTACTTGCTTAGATTTTAGAGTCTTAAACATTGAAGATATTTGTGTATTTCTTCGGTTCTTTTGGGTTTGTTTCCTTGAAAATATATGCAATGCTGCATATATGCTAAGTCTTTTTAGTGTGCAAACAAATGTTTCTTTCCTATCTTTTAAAATCCAGATCCCATTACCATTTCGAGATTAAGAGGAACCATTCTGAGATATGTTTTGGCTTCAGTAATCACAAGTAGTCTAGGAAAGGTGACCTATATAAGAGTACAATTTTTACACCATGGGGAATGATCAGATCACCTTGGAAAGGAAATAGTGGGAGTCAAGGTATAGCAACTTTAAGAGAACGCCAAATATTTTAAGCCATGTCTTGTTCTGCATATGCGTCAAACATTTACAGCAGATGGGCACATTAGAAAACAGAAACAAAATGTAATATATTGGAATCCACATAAGATTATTTTTGAGCTTGGAACAAATAAGCTTCATTCATACATAATCTTTGGAGTTTGCCTGTACTTCAGTGTATTTGCCTCAGTTTTAAAGACATGGTGAAACTCAACATCTGCAGAATGCAGATTTTATGGAGAGCTTTGGAATTTACAATTTCCCAACCTCCAGAATAGGCAACAAGACAAATAGTCACTAGTTTCAGCAGAGGCAATGATTTTGTGGTCAGTTGTAGATTTGATTCTCCTTTCTGCATCCTCCCTGCTACTTTCCTCCAGCACTCTACCCTCCCTGACAATCCCATCGAACCTAAGCCAGTGGTAACATTATCATTATGAATTAAGCAGTGGTGGGATTCAAAAATTTTTATTACAGGTTCTGTGAGCATGGCTTGATGGACGTGGCTTGGTGGATGTGGCAGGGAAAGGATACTGTAAAATCTCCATTCCTTCCCCACTCCAGGGGAAGGTTACTGAAAAATCCCCATTCCCTCCTGATCAGCTGGGAGTCGGGAGACAGAGAATAGATGGGAGCGGGGCCAGAGGTGGTATTTACTGGTTCTCCGAACTGCTCAAAATTTCTGCTACCAGTTCTCCAGAACTGGTCAGAACCTGCTGAATACCACATCTGGAATTAAGGCGAATGTACATGTCCTGGGATAATGTTGCAGGATTCAATTTGGGTTGGTCATTGGGACCAGAGGTTTTGTCTTCCAAGCTTTCGGACTCCTGC